GGGGGGATGGCCACGCCACAATCCCTTCTCCTCCATTCTCCTCTTGAGATCTTGGGCACGTACGCACTTGCGCCTGGAGTGAGTTTAAGCTGCCAGGTCCGGGACTTGAACCGCAGTCGACTACATGGGAGTCCAGCGACATAGCCATTACGCTAACTACTGGTCCCCCAGCCCAGTTTTCAACTTTTAAAAAATTATTGCCAGAGAAGAGAAAGCACCCCCAATGGAGCGTGATCATGCCACAATCCTTTCTCCTTATTTCTCCACCCTACTGAAATTTGGGGCATTTGCATACATGCACCTAATGTGTTTTTCATGCCACCAGGACAGGGATTTGAACCATGGTCAACCATGTGAGATCCAGCTCCCTTAAGCACAAGGCTGGTTCTCAAAATATTTTTTGTACCAAAATAAATCGACACTTTAATTCCATTTTTCCATGAACTGTTTGAAATTCTATCACCATGACTTAGAGAGCAACATGGAATGTGAACCAGCTAGTGCCCTACGTTAAACACATTAACTCTTTTGGGACTAGCAGATGACGTAATGGCTGTGTCACTGGACTCCCACATAGTCGACCGTGGTTTGTGTCCCAGACCCAGTGGCTTAAACTCAGGCTGGGCGCCTGTGCATGCATGCCCAAACTCCTAAGAGGAGAAGGGATTGTGGTGTGGCCATACCCCCTGGGGGGTGATTTCTCGCTTTCTGTCTCTCTCTGTTTCTATGGTGAGTGCCCATGTCCTACGGCAAAAATCTCTCTTAAAAATATTAACTCTTTAAAGAAAAATATTAAAATATATAAAATATAATATAAAAGTTGAACCCTGTGAGACAGGTAATATCAGGATGAACAACTTCTTAAAAGTTTATGTATTTACTTCCTTCACGAGAGAGAGAGAAATAGAGAGCTGGGACTCCCCAACAGGGTCTTCCCACCATGATCCACCCATAGTCCCAGCGCCCAGATCACAGATTCACGTGTGCACCTGGCAGCTCAGGGACGTCCTGGAGTGTGAACCCAGGGACTGTCCCACATGGGTCCAGTCGTGCTACCTCTGCACCACCACCTGACCCCAGTAATAGCCACTTTTTATGGGAGAGGAAACTGAGGCACGAAGAATAACTTATGTAAGGTCACCTCTGTGTGAGAGTCGGACTGGGATTCAAACTCAGATGTTGTCATGTTGGTGTCCATGTCCCTCCCGCCTGCCCCACAGTCTCCCCTAGAGCTCCCAAACTCTGCAGACAAGGCTTAAGAGCTGATACCCAGAGATGTCTGTAGAAGATCATTCCGAGCAAACGAACAGTTCACCCAGGCAGGAAGACATCTTGCTCACCACCCTATCTATCCCCAGCATCGAGCACATGTCTTGGGGCACAGCACGTACTCAATAAACATTTGCTGACACTGAAGTAAAAAATTAAAAAAAAAAAAGGAAAAGAATGAATGCATTTGGGATATTCCAGAAGAAATAAAGGATGAAAATACCTATCAGTCAGGTTGGAATGTTTATGAGGGTGTACCTCTGAAGCCTCCCCTCCTGTCCAACTCCCAGTAGTTACTCTGTGTCCGAGGTCCGCTGTGGCTTTGCTAGCACTCAATTACAACGCCTCTCTGTCTATAGCACATGTGGGTTCTTACGCGGGCACCATCGCTGCTCAATATTACAGGCACCTGGCACCGAGAAGAAACTCAAGAAACAATATCATTTCCTGGGGGGCAGCAGGTGGCATGGTGGTTAAGGTGCTGGACTCCCACGTGGCCTATTGTATTTGAGTCCTAGACCCGGTGGCTTGCTTTTTCACTTTTTTTCTTTCTCTCTCTCTCTCTCTCTCTGTCTCATGAATTAAAATAATGATAATAATAATAAATCAAATTTTAAAAATATATATCACTTCCTGATAAAGTCACGTCTAGGTAAGCTGAATTTGTGGATGACTTACGAAATTCTATGCAGCAAGATATTCTTTACGTATATATCTTTATTATAATAATCATCTTTCTCTCCCACCCAGAGGGCATGGGTGGGAGAGAAAGAGGAAAGAAAAGAGGGGAAAACACCTTCCAATGGGGCGGGATCACACTGCAATCCTTTTTTCTCCATTTCTCCATCATGTCAGGATTTGGGGCACGCATATCTAAGCCACTGAGGCTAAGATTCAAAATGAGGTTGTTGGTTGGGACCAGCAGATGGTGTAATGGTTGCATTACCGAACTCCCACATAACTGACTGCGGTTCGAGTCCAGGAGCTGGCAGCTTGAAACTCATGCCGGGTGCGTGTGTGCCCAAAATCCCAAGAGGAGAAGAACAGAGGGGAAGGGATAGAGGCATGACCATCTCCCCGGGTGGGTGATTTCTCGCTGTCTCTCTGTCTCTGTCTCTCCAGCAAGTGCACACACCCTCTAGCAAAAATCTCTCTTAAAAAAAAAAAAAGTGGTCATTTGTGTGGAATCTGGTTCCCTTAACCACTAAGCTATGGGGCAGCCCTGCTTGCAAGTTTCTTTTTCTTTTTCTTTTAAGGTTTTTTTTGGTCATAGAATAGGTGTGCTTGCCAGAGAGAGACAGAGACAAAGAGAGGTGAGAAATCATCCCCCAGGGGAGACGGTCACAGAATGCTTTCTCTTCCATTCTCCCCCGGGGACTCAGAGCACGCACACACACATGATTCACGTGATTTTCAAGCCACCTGGACTGGGACTCGAACCGCAGTCAGCCATGTGGAAGTCCAACACCCCAGCCACTATGCCACCTGCTGGCCCCGTACTTATCGATAGTTTAACATCGTGAAGGAAACACGTCATTCTGGTAATGACCCATAACCCAGAGGTGATTACAGAGCAGTGGTCTGGAGTGCAGGTTCACACCCAGAGTTGCCACTTACCCTCTGTGAACTTGGCTGAGTGACTCGTGACCTTTCCACCATTATTTCCATCCATGTCTCAAGTGGAAAAATAATAAATAGATACTAATTTGTGTGCATCTAGGAAACTATACATGTTAGCTCTTATTGTTAAAATCCTGTTCTTTCTATTTCTGTCACAAGACTCTCACTCTAAACACTATCAGGTCTGATCTGATGGTGCCAGAACCCTCTTTATTTTTATTTATTTATTTATTTTTTTTTTTTTAGAGAGAGAGAGAGAGAAAGAGAGAGTTTTTCTATAGGGCACATGTGCTTGCTGGAGAGACAGAGAGACAGAAAGCAAGAAGTCACTCCCTGGGAGATGGCCACGCCACAATCCCTTCTCTTTCATTCTCCTCTCAGGATCTTGGGCACACACGCACACATGCCCGGTGTGAGTTTAAGCTACTCGGTCCAGGACATGAACTGTGGTCAACGATGTGGGAGTCCAACAACGTAACCATTACGTCACCTGCTGGTTCCAGAACCCTCTTTAATTAGCAGGGAGAGATGAAGCCCGACAGCATGGCAGCAGTCACTCATTATATAATGAATAGTATATATTGAATTTAGACTCATTATACACTGAGAAAGTCAAAGGAAAACTCTAGACCCATTGGGACTGATGCCACCTAACCCCTCGGTGTCTGTGACCTACAATACCCTGGGCTAGGCAAGCCTTACAGTCTTAGAATGCCCCGTGGCTTTCAGCCCCCCCCCCTACCCCGTTCAGTTTCGGGGCCCCCCCCCTGCCTCCCAACTGCCGCTCCTTTCACAGACCACACGTGTCTGAATGTCAGCGTGACTGAGGTTGTCAAGTCCTCCAACCTGGCAGGAAGGTCCTTCTCTGTAAGTACTGGGTCTAAAGGGACAGAGGGGGGAGCTAGGTAGGAACTGAGTGGGTGGGCCCAAGGGGAAGGTGCGTCACAGAAAGGGAGCTGACTTCCAAGTTTTCCTGAGCCTTTGCTATTGAAGGGCGTCTTCCAATGGGACAGAATCTGCTTTCCAATCTGTCTGTTTGACAAGGTGAGCCCCGCCAGCCAGATTGGTGCGGGGAGGGTGCAGTAAAACGTGACACTCGGCAAGGCGGGACCAGAGAAAGGTCCTGGGTTTGCAGCCAGAGACCTTCCTGTGTATCTGGGTGTGCGTGTACCCACGCTCCAGGGCTGGCTGAGGCGGGGTGGGGATTGTGGCACTGAGATCCTGTTGGGGGATACTCTCTCCCTCTCACTCATGGAAGAAATAAATGAATAGAGAAAAGAGAAAGGAAGGGAGGGAGGGGGCAGGAAGACTGAGCACCAACCGGCCTAAGTCAGGCACTCTGACAGTTAAAGCCCCACCGTCCATCTGCCGGCATTTGAGGCATTTGAGAACTAAGACGTAGCCAGGAAGCTGCAAACCCCACCCACGTCCTGCCACCTCGGACCCTACACAACAGCCGGGCTCCTACCGGGCACAGTCCGTCCTTTAACAAATCTAACTTCCATAATCTCACGGCCCTGCTATGTCCCTTGCCCTTTGCCCTTACTGGTACTTACTAACACGGCCTGTGGCCCACCCGTGTCCTCCCTCTCCGATGGCCTCTTCGGGTTTCACTTCCCTACTCTGTTTGGTCTTGGAGCTCTGCGCTTAGCCGGCCGTGTCTCCCCAACATCCTCACCTCCGAAGTAGGGCCCGGGAGGAGACACTCTGCTTTAGAGCAATCAGCCCCATCTGTGTGTCCAGGGGGCTGAAGAAATCCGCGTCTACACTGGTTAGGGCCACAGCAAACGCGACCTGCCCCTCACCTGGAGCCCCTCGTAGCATCACTCGGCCCTTTCCTCCTCCATCTCCTCCCGGCTTTTCTCCATCTGCTCCCAGCCGGCTCATCTCAGGTTGGGCCTCTCCTCCTCCCCATGCCTCCCTGTAGCTTAGTTTTCCCACCCAGGGACACAGAGAAACTACCCTGCCCGACTGCCTCTCTAGCTACCCGTGCCTTCGTCCTTCCCTAACCTTAGAAAAAAAAAAAAGCAGAAATGAAAGAAAGAAAGAAAGATCTCGTCCAGCTTTGTCTGGGATTGGAGGGTTTCCCAGGATGTGTGACTTCCAACACTAAAATCAGTTCAGTCATAGACAGTGGTTACCTTTAAATTAAAAATGTGTGTATTTGAAGTTATATTTACATATTAAGACTCCAGTGGACTGGCTTCCAGCACTGTCGGAGACTTTCCCCCACTTTCATCTTGTTTTGGTCAATTCTGAAAGCATTCTACCACTAGCAGAGAAGCCCTGCCCGCTGAGTCTGCAAACACCCTGAATCCACACATGCTGGGATGCATTCTCTCACAGTGTTTCTCCTCCATTTCTGGTTGTCACTTGTTGGCCTCTTTCCTTGAACTCTTTTTCCTATAGCAGTTCCTTAAATAGCTACTGTTCTCGACTTCTATTCACGGCCCACTTCTTTTCTCATTCCCTGGACTATCAAATTCACTTAGTAGGATCTGGTCTAATTCAGGAAGGACTCCCAGATCTCTATCTCCTGCCCTGACTCACCCCTGAGCTTCTGACTCTTGCCTTCAACTAGGTTAGCCTGAACTGGATGGCCCATCACACCTTGACTTGAAATGTTTAAAACCAAAGCTGGAGTCAGCAGATGGCATAGTGGTTACGTTGCTGCACTCCAGCATGGCCGACCATGGTTCAAGTCCCAGACCTGGTAGCTTGAAACTCACACTGGGCATATGTGTGTGTGTGTGTGCCCGAGATCCTGGGAAAAGAATTAAGGAGAAGGGATTGTGGCCATCATCCCTGGGGAGTGATTTCTCACTTTCCCTCTCACTGTCTCTGTCGCTCTCTCTGGAGAGAACACACATCCTATGGTGAAGAAGCTCTTAAAAAAAGTCATGGGTTGGCCCTGTGGCTGTGGTTAAGGGAGTTGGATTCCAAATAGCTGACAGCACAGCTCGAGTCTAAGCCCTGGCAGCTTGAAAATTACACCTGGGAGACCAGCAGGTGGTGTAGTGGTTAAGGTGCTGGACTCCCACAGAGCCAACCATGGTTCAAGTCCCAGACCCAGTGGCTTGAAACTCATACCAGGCGCATGTGCCTGTTTGCCTAAAATCCCAAGAGAAGAACGGAAAAGAAGGTATTGCGGTGTAACCATCTCCCCTAGGTGGTGATTTCTTGTTTTCTGTTTCTGTCTCTCTCTGCCTCTGGCGAATGCATGTACCCTATAGCAAAAATCTCTAAGAAAAAAAGAAAAAAAAAGAAAGAAAAACACACCTGGGGTATGTACATGGGCGCTGTACCCAAAGTCCCAACAGGATGAAGAGGTGGAGAAGAAGGGATTGTGGTGTGACCAAGCCCCACTGGGGGTGCTTTCTCCCTCTCCCTTTGTCTCTGTCTCTCTCTGGTGAGTGTACACCATCTGGCAAATTAAAAAGAAACACCAAAGCCAGTTCCTTCTGATAGTTAAGAGCTCTCTAGAGCCAGACGGCCTCGGTTCGAGTCCTGGCTCTGCTTTTGGCAAGTTACTCAGCCTTGCTTTGCTTCAGTCCATGATGTGAAACCGGGGTAAACACATGGCCTGCCTCCGCCAGTTGTTGTGAGGACTGGCTGTGGCAGGTAAAGCTCTCGGGAGAGTGCTGAGTTGGCACTTCGTACAAGGGGGCTTCAGAAAGTTCATGGAAAGAGGGCCACCTGAGGTGCAGTAATAAAATGTGATGCCCTGTCAGGCAGCCACATGGCAGGGTTACTGAGTCCCGTCCAGAGACTTCCCCAAGGACACTGAGCACACCCGTGCCCATGAGCTGGGCTGGCTGAAGGCAGGGGCGGTAGTGGTACCAGGACCCTGTTCAGGGTGCTCTCTCTCTCCTCTCTCCCTCTCTCTCACAGAGTAAGTAAATAAAAGTTCTTTGTTTTGTTTTGTTTAAAGTTCATGGGCAAGGGGGCCAGCAGGTGGCATGATGGCTAGGGTGCTAGACTTCCACATGGCTGAGCCCCAGACCTGGTGGCTTGAAATTCGTGTCAGGCACATGTGTGTAGTGTGCCCAAAATCCCAGGATGAAAATAGAGAAGGGATACGGCATGGCCATCCCTTCTAGGGGGCTGATTTCTCACTTTCCCTCTCACTGTCTCTGTCTCTTCAGTGAGTGCATGTGCCCTATAGCAAAAACCTTAATATATACATTTCAAAAAAAATGTTCACAGGAGAATGGACGTAGAGTACAGGTTTATTTTGGTGCAAAAAGATGTGTCATTCATGTATAGATTTTTCATAATATTCATTTGCATGAACTTTTCAAAGACCCCCCACTGCATGTTAGGGGTTGTTTTTATTTTGTCCCCTCTCTTATTCAATGGTATAGTCACAAACAACAGCTCTGCCAGAAACCTGAGCGTCATCCCAGAGGCCTCCTCGTCCTCGCTTCCCCATGCCCTGCTGGTTTCCCTCAAGTACTTCTCAAATCTCTCTTCCTCTCTGCCCTCCTTCTCCTGGTCCAACTATTAATAGGTTGACCAACTGTCCCAGTTTTCCTGGGACTGAGGGGGTTCCCTGAATTTGGGACTTGAACGCTAAAACCAGGAGCGTCTCAGGCAAGCCAAGGCAAGGTGGTCACCCTAGGTCCAGACCTGCGTCCACCCCCTTTGCCTCTCAGCTGGGCTCACCAAGACCAAGCTGACGCTCCTAAGTCCACCGTCCACGTCTCTCCTGAAAAAGTCTATGACAGAATGCTGACATGCCACCCACTCCAGACTTACACCCCCTTGTCGTTTCCCTTTCTCCAAGGGCAAAACATCCATTGGTGTCGCACTGCTGGGCTCCTGCTCTTCTCGGTCGGCAGCTCTGGCCGCTCCCCACAGGCCCTTTCCTCCATGGCGCTGGGATGTGTTCCCAGTCACAGCTCTGCACCTTTGCTCATGCCATTTGCTCTACCTGGGACCCAGTCCTCCCTTCCTTTTCCCACCATCTTTGTGTAGGTAGAAATCCCTGCCAGGGAAGGCTCAGTGTCGTCTCCCCAGAAAGCCTTCCCTCCACTTCACTCCCCGATGAGCTGGGAGCCCCACCTCTGTGCTCCCATAGACCCTCGGGACACAGCCAGGGAAGCGTTTGTAGCACTATTCAGGCAAGTTCTTGTACGTTGATGGCCTGCCAGCTCCCCGGCTCAGGGTCCTCATCTCAGCTTCCAGGCTTGCCAGCACTTGGCCTGAGTCCAGGGGTGTTCACCAGGTGTTTGTCAAGTCGCCTCATCCATCCTCCCCCGTGTCCCAGATCTCACAGCAGAAACAGAGCTCGCCTTCTCCGAGGCAGCCCACACACTCCAGAGAGCTTGGATTGGCTGAGGGGCCTCTTGCCCTGAGCTGAAAGCAGCCTTCCTCCGGGGCACTTAGCTTTGAGCTCCAAGAGGGAAACATTTACCTCATGTTGCATTTCCTCTTTTGAACTCAGTGGTCTCTGTTGTTAATGATCTCTCTCTTTAAAATTACTCGTTTAATTTTATTTATTAAATATTATGCAGTTTGGGGACCAGCAGTTGGCATAATGGCTATGTCACTGGACTCCCATGTAGTCAACCACAGTTCGAGTCCCAGACCTGGTGGCTTAAACTCACGCCACGCGCATGTGCGTGTGTGCCCAAGATCCCGAGAGGAGAATGGAGGAGAAGGGATTGAGGTGTGGCCATTCCCCCCCCGGGGAGTGATTTTTCGCTTTCTGTCTCTTTGTCTTTCTGGTGAGCACACGTGCCCTATTTTACTACTAAAATATTCAGTTTGAAGAGAGAGAGAGAAAGAGAAAGCAAGCCTTCAGGTTTGGGACTCGAACTACAGTCAGCCACGTGGGCGTCCAGCCAACCACCGCGCCACCTGCTGGCCCCATGTTGTTAATGATCTCGTTAAACAACTAGGTCAGGGGATTTGGAAAATCAAAACCTATCCCTCTAAGTGAGTTCCCTTTACTCCCTGCACTGACTGGCCGGGGGAACTTCCCTGTAGCCATGCTTTCTGCGTGGAACCAGGCAGGTCTGTCCAGCCGGATGGATGATAAGCCCCTGGCAGCGAGGGCAAGCTCATGGGGAGCTGGAAGCGTGAGGGCAAGGGCGTGGCCAGCTTGGTGAGTTTAAGGGTCAGTAAAGGTATGGCCTTGGCTGGATTGGAAACTTGACATAGAAGACTAGTGGGACACAAGGACAGGAGGGTTGGGGTGTGGGGAGTGTGGAAGGCAGGAAGCACCCCCGGAGAACAGGAAGGATCGACGACATTTTGCCTGTCCCTCGTCTTACTGAGATGGCTGGCCTGCCCACCGTGTTTCCTGACTGGAATGCATGCCTCCTGGGCCCTCACAGGTCAAGGCCAAGCAGATAGGGTGTGTCTCCGTGCGTAGACCACAAGGGTAAGCAGAGGGTGTCTGCCTACACTGCGGGCAGGAGGCGGCAGTGCTGAGACTTCATCCAATTGTCAAAGGATGGCCTGTCCCTGGGTGTATTATGGAGGCCCGGATCCTGCAGACCCTGGAGCAGGCTGATGCAGGAGAAAGAGCACCAGGCGGGGAGTCAGGGCTGGGCCCACACCGACCAGTGCACACCTTCCGTGGGTACATTCTGTTCTCTGGCCTGTCTCCTCACCCATGGGGACCACAAGCATACCCCAGTAGGTACAGTCGGTTTGGGGTGCCATGCATTAACTCACTAACCAAATGCTCCTGGCTTTCCCCAACCCCCAGCTCATGGGGCACTCCAGCTCCCTGCAGTCTCTGCAGGTATTTCGGGAAGGTCAAGGATGGCATCCCAGTGCCCACGATCAGCTGTGCGGGCAGTGCCCTCTACGCTCCACTACCGGTCCCCCTGACCACCACTGTCCCTGGGCAGAGAGTCTCAGGGCACTAGAGCTGATGCAGGGTCTGTCAACAGCAGGGGGCCATTCCTTCTCCTCCAGTGTTACTCTCTGTCATGGGGTCCCCACTCTCTTACAGAGGTTTGGGTAAATCTTTCTGTCTTTACACAAAACCTCCTATTCTGATTCACATGAGGCTAGGGACTGGGCAGTGACAGGGGGGGACCTTAGGCTGGAAGATGACTCGGGGGGAAAGAATCCACAGTGTGTTCCTCTCTGACAACTAAGCCTTCATCCATGCTGGGCTCCCTCCTGGAATATTATAGTTCATACTAATAATAAGCCAATGTTAATACGGCTCTCCTTAGGTAATTATCATTACCAGTAATAGCAATAATAATGTGTCAATATTAATATAGCTTTTATATGTCCAGGCACTATTCCAAGTACTTAACGTGTACTGTCTTGTTTAATATCCACAACAGTCCTACAAGGTAATTGCTATTATTCCTTTTTTTCCCTAAATATTGGGTGATTGGAAAAGTTGTAAAGTATTTTTTTCTACGTTTTTCTATGTAAAAATTTGTCATAATTTTTTTAACATAATTATTTATTTAATTTTGTTATCTTTTTTTTTTTTTTTTGACCAGAGAGAGTCAGAGAGATAGGAAAAGAGGGAAAGTAAGCTGCCAGGTCTGGGACTTGAACCACCGTCGGCCAAGTGGGAGTCCAGTGCCTTAACCACCACACTACCTGCTGGCCCCATGTCATGACTTTCCTAACAGACTAATAACAGAGACATTAGAAGGAGGCCTAAGGTCATACAGCTCACAAACAGCAGAGCCAGGATTAGAACCTGGCTTAGAGGCTGTGCTCCTGACCGTCTCCTGGGAAGATTCTTAGACACTCTGGCCACAGACTCCAGCTTATCCCCCCTACAAAAGTTCAGCCGAAATGCCTGGACATGCTTGAGCCCCCCACAAGCCTCCCTCCCCAGCCTGTTTAGGTGCTGTTCGTGGCTCTGTTGTACAATGAGCAAATGGAGTCCCGCCTACATTGGCAGCTTTTTAAAGAATGCCTACACCTAGGGACCAGCGGGTGGCGTGGTGGACAAGGTGCTGGTCACTCCCACATGGCTAACTGGTGTTCGAGTCCTGGACCTGGTGGCTT